GCGCGAGCTGTTCGAGGTGGGCGGAAAGCCAGACAAAAACTTCTGTCAGAACGTTTCCAGAACACTTTCAGACACCGGAAAATAAGTGGATTAAGGTCAGCCAGGTGGGTCGCCTGTGAGGACAGTGCGCGGGCTACAATATTGAGGCGCGGTCTGCTCTGAGGTGGCGGAGGTCAGACGAAGAATTTGTAAAACAGCGAGTTCTCAAGAGTACTTCAGACACCGGGAAAAAGTAGAGTACAGAACAAAAAGGCGCGGATTATCAAGTTGAGTTCTATGTAAATTATGTGAGAGAAGGGTTGCGCGCGGCGAAGGCCGCGCCGCCCGGCCGCAGCCGGGCCGTATTTCAGAAGGAGCCGCGCCGGCGTCAGCCGGCGAGGCGACTGGTTAGAAATAAGATGCTATGCTTGGATTCTCTGAACAAGCGTAGGTTGAGAAATGATTTAATAACCGTGTACAAAATCACACAGGGTACCATGCTTTTTGCTGCCGCTAAACTCTTCTCCTTTTCTGCCTCCTCTACTAGAGGTGAGGGCATCAAGCTGCGCTTTAGTAAGGCCAGGATTTCAGTTCGTAGTCACTTCTTCACTCAGCGGGCTGGCGGCGAGTACGCTAAGTTTAGCAAACACATTCCCTCTCCTATTAGTTATTGCTCCTTCAGACGAGAAGTCTCCCATTATCTCAAGGACATCAGCTAGTTGTCTTCTTGGTTTCTTATTGTTCTCCAGTTGCATTCTACCTCGGATTTATCTTATTGCTAGTGCTTTTAATTTGCCTTATTATAGTGTTCTCGCATTTGAAGTCTCCCGGTTTTTGTTGTTCATTGTTATAATATTCCACATGCCCATATCGGGCGTGTAATAAATAATTAGAACAGACTGGCTTCGTCGATGGAATCTTTTCAGCCGAATACAGTGCGTAACAAAAGTATGTGGACACCCCAAATTTTGATTTTGCGTAACTGCCTTTGGATATTGCGATCTGAGACCATCACTGTTGAATTACTCATAAGCGAAAGTATAGGAATGCACTACCTACGAGCACATTGTGAACTACTGAGCAATGATTTATTGTTTTGAAAAAATTTCTTAATAACAAAAGTATGTGGACACTTTACAAAAAACAAAAGTATCATGGAAATTGAAACTTGGTGCTCTCTCCCGCGTTCACTATTACTTCGAACATTCTGTCTGGTATGCTGTGGACAAGATTTGTGATAGTGTCATCGTCGATTTCCTCCCATGCAGCCACTACCGCCTCCTTGAGGTCTCGCACGCTGTTGTACTGCCGATTGTTCATGTAAATTCGTCGAACCATAATGCGCCACAGGTTTTCGATTGGGTTGCAGTCAGGGGAACATGTCAATCCATCACTTTGATACCATTGCGTTGGAGCCATTTTATAGTAGAATTTGAAACATGCACGGCGGCGTTGTCCTGCTGCAGCATATGTGTCCTGGGTCGTGGCCCACTCAGAAGAAGCAAGAGATAGGATTCGAGCACTCCTCGATATTCCTGAATGTTCATACGGCACGATGGGAAGGCGAGCTCTAACTTTCCGCTGGTTCCAAAACCACCCCACACCATCAAAGAGCCGCCTCCGAAATTTCGTCTCGAGAGCAGCAATGGATCGCGACGGTCTCTCCAGTAGTGCCGACCGATATCCATCTGGACCGTCGAGATCGGACTTTTTTTCATCGGTGAAGATAACCTAAGAAAGAAAAGCGCATGGGATGTTGCGTTTCCGATTTTACAAATTTCTCAAAAAAACTTCACCTTGTCCCACGACGTCGCCTTGTTTGCACGCGCGAAGTTCAGTCTCGCCAGCTGGTGTTGGGCAGTCAGGCGGGGAGCTTTCTTCATGGTCTCTCGTGTGAGATGCTCATTTGATCGAATATAGCGCCATATCGTCATTTTTGAGACCGGTAGATTAATTGCAGCATGGATCTGTCTCACAGAACGAGGGGAGTTTGGGGCGACCCGCGCTATTCTTCGATGTCTTTTACGGACAAAGATCGAGCACGCCCCGAAATATGTGCTGAATGGTAGCCATCAGGATTCTGGAGGTATTTACCAACGCACGTCGCCGAACGTCCGAGCTGTCTTGCAATTTCTCTATTTGAGTGTCCAGCAGCACTGAGAGCTCGAATCTGAGATTGTTCGTCTTCGGAGAGAGTACTGCCACGACGAGGCATGAGTATAGATTAAGGGGGAGCAGATACGATAGATATGCGTTGCAGATTTGGAGTCAAACCTTGAACTTTCTCAGGTGTCCACATACTTTTGTTATTAAGAATTTTTTTCAAAACAATAAATAATTGTACAGTAGTCACAATGTATTCAGAAGTAGTGCATTCATATATTTCGCTTGTGAGGAATCTAACAGTGATGGTATCAGATCGCAAAAATCAAAGGCAACTTCGCAAAATCAAAATTTGAGGTGTCCACATCCTTTGGCACGCACTGTATGCTGACGCCTTAGCTGCGCTACACTAGAGCACATTTTCACAGTGGCATTCCTTTCAAAGTCTGTCAAAAGGTTTCGAGACTCTTCATCGACTCTTCAGATTCTTCCGCTGCGGTCCATCATACTCTTTCGTTATTAAAGAATTTTTTCAAAACAATAAATTATTGTACAGTAGTTCACAATGTATTCAGAAGTAGTGCATTCATATATTTCGCTTGTGAGGAATCTAACAGTGATGGTATCAGATCGCAAAAATCCAAAGGCAACTTCGCAAATCAAAATTTGAGGTGTCCACATCTTTTGTCACGCACTGTATGCTGACGCCTGTAGCTGCGCTACATAGAGCACATTTTCACAGTGGCATTCCTTTCCAAAGTCTTCAAAAGGTTTCGAGACTCTTCATCGGACTCTTCAGATTCTTCCGCTGCGAGACGTCAACATCAAGATCGCCAGTTTTAAACTTTGCAAATCATCTTCGCGCTGTAGATACCCCTGTAACGCCTTCCCCACATACCCTGCAAGTGCCTCGGACGGTAGTTTTTGGCTTCGATGAAAAGCGGAGGAGAGCCGTCGCCGCAAGTTTTCCCTTCGGGGTATCTACATATTTCTGATGGTGAGCCTGAAAAGTAATAAATAATACATGCTGCTGCCAAGAAGAGGTTAGTTCCGCAACTTCCATCCTTTTCAGCTTACAAGATTTGCTTACCAACGAAGTCAATAGTGCGGAAAAAGCAGACAAAAAATGGTCGCAAATGCCCACGATAAAAGCGCTCTGCGAGCACACTTCTGCGAGCAGATGAAGAAAAAGAGTGGTCGGACGAGATCACCGGGCAAGTGCTGTTGTGGCCGATTTGGTTGCGTCATTGATCACAGCCGAATTCCTGTGGCCAATAGCGCTCTGCCTGTTCTTTAGCAGGTTTTCTCATTATGGATAGCAAAGCGGCGGGCGCGATCAATGAAAATGGCCAATGAGAGAAACGACAATGTCCCCGCCCTCCTCCCTCACCTTTGCGCTGCAAAAACTGAGCTGTCGCAGCCTCTGAGGGTCTGTCTACCAGCACAAGAAGGGAGAGGAGAAGTCAGTCGATCGCGGGCAGTGCCTTTGAAAAGCACTTTTTTTCGGAGATGGCATAAATTGATCACAAGGAAAGATGATAGATAATGTCAATTTATCCATATAAATAGCATACAAAGTAACTAGGTTAGCACTTGTGAATATACTGTACAACTAAATGAAAGGATAACAAAATAATCAATGTGAAAACTTATACAACTATCGATACTCTAAGTTATCATATCTCTGCTACCCGTTGGAAAAGTATCACATAATAATAAGGAGCAGTTTGACTAAAGTATTAAAAATTACCAGGAAAAAGCATGTCTGAGCCAGTAAGGGTTAAATGACAAGCAGTATACCGGGAATGACTAAGAACAATTTGAAGCACAGCAAGGCTAGCTAGTGCTAATTCAAAATGCAAAGCATAGAGACCAGTACGGTTAGAGATGCTGGAAACTTCTACTAGTGAAATGCCGAGTTCAACTACCGAGTAAGCATGTTTTGGAAACTTCTGGATCGGGAATTTTACAGGATGTTGTCCCTCCAAGACAACGACCCTTTCGCTTTGAGGATGCTAAAAGCAGGCTGCGCTCATAGTTCGCGTCATCGTCCACCAGCGACCAACAGCGTTTCGAGCTTCCGTCAGTGCCAGCGACTAGGCAGGTATAGATATCGATCTAACGAACACCAGCGCGCACCATCGCCAGGAGTAGAGAGTGAGGAAGCAAGAGGGTAGCAGATAGGTGGATAGGCGGCGTGAAATCGCGGCGTGTGCAAGCGCACCGCACATTACACCGCACATTGGATTCCATAATTCTGTTCTCTAGCAATCGTAACGATCTGTTGCACAAGCCGCAATGACGCCTAATAAAGCTGCCTGCCACACTCCTACCTCCTCGTACACATTACTCCTAGACTCTGGTAGACGCTAGCATTTGCTAGATCAATATTTAAACTATCCTAGTCGCTGGCGCTGGCGACAGCTCAAAACGCTGGTAGACGCTGCCGCAAAGTACGAAAGTAGCCTCATCAGCAGATCCTGACCTTTTGCACCTAGGATTACTGCAGCGCAACAGTAAAGGACTCTGCCGAAAAATGCACACAAAACAGCACAAAAGGAGTTCGGACGCTGAAAGTGCGCGACGGGGTGCCACGCGAAAGGGAGTCAGAGCAGCCTCTGTGATCCTTTGAGTCGCAATTTTCGTTCACTCGTCTTATCTTTCTTAGTTTCGCTGGTGATGCTTCCTTGTGGTAGAAATCAAAGACTCCCACCCCTTCCCCCTAGAAATGCCGCCCTCTCCGCGACCGCTCGCCTTCGAGATGACCAACCTTCGCGCAGGCTCTGCTGAAACGAAGCTACAGAAATTTGTCCCGATTACCAGTAAAGAAATAGCAAAACAAAGTAGGCGCCAAATTAACAAAGCAATGCATGAATTTGCTGCCTGCGATTAAAGGCAAGTAAAATATAGAAAAGTTCTCATGACTTCTTCCTCTCCAGCGTCATAATGTCAGGCCAATGAAGGCTTGGCTGACTACAGTAAACTGAGTTCGCTTCGGGTTCTGCCACGGCGTTGTCCTTCGACAAATCGCTGGCGAGACTCACTTCTATGCATTCGGGATCAATCTCCATAACTCGCAGAACCCGCAGGGCAATCTGGAAAGATGGACAGAAAGGAGAGAGTGCATCTATAGGTCTCTTTATTAAAACCTTCCACCTACCAGCTGTACGGCCATACGTCGATGAAACAGACGTGGGAAGAAGCGAACGTGATGTTGACAATCGGCTGTTTCAATAGCGTTGAATATTTTCGATCGAATCTTAAAGATATTTGCTCCGGGGCAATTTCAACGTACCAAAGAATTTCTAACCTCGTTGAACGTTTCCTCGCTTATCAAATCAGGCATCAAATTCTTCACAACTACGCCGAACGCACAGTCAACGACCAGTAACGGATGCGGAATACAGGCAATTCCATCACGCTCACGAGCTTCACGTAAGTATTCTTTCGTCATCTGGAAAGTATTAGTTTCATTACCAGCTCATCTGAATCTCAGATTGAAAAGAGGGTGAGGAAACTGGATGTTAACAGAAGATGACCCTTCATAAAGCGAAACGGGCAATGTAAACACTTTGCAAGATACTCTACATTCAGGTCCAATACTTTTACTTTGTTTATTTCACTTCATAAAACAGAAAGATTGATTACTTATGCGAAAGAACTTCAGTCCAGTTGGGCTTGGTGTTTGCATGTTGCAGGTTCAATAAATAGCTGCTTAACAACCACGCTGAGAAGATCCGATTTACAAGAGAGAAGCCAATAGACGATTGGCTTCCTTTTATCAACGTGCACGTCCGGTTGGTACGAGGGTTTCATAGGATCGAAAGGTACCTTAAACCCAGCAACAAAGACATCGTCGTCCATCTCCGGTAGGCGCATCCTTGTAAAACAAAACGGGCTATTAACAACAACATGCTTAGGACGGCTAATACAGTTTCTTCGGGCAATGAGGAGAAAGCGGAATCATTGGCTCGCCCAGAACATTTCCACGGTTACTCCCTCCCCCACACCTAAGGGCTACACGCCTTCCTGGACCACCCAGTAACAATCAAGAGGGCTCGGAAGTCGAGAAATCTGAAAACGTGCCTTTTTGTTACATTCAATATTGTATTACCCCGCACTTGTTGTGTCTAGCGGTTGTCTCAGGAAAACCTACCATAGGTCCAAGTGAGTTTTTGTGTTTCTGATCTGCGGTATCTCCCCGAATGCACTGGTCTATGATGAATCATTTTCAAGTTTGAAATGATTTGTGAGGACAGAGTCACCGATTCTTAACTTCCAGGCTCTGACGAAGGCGACTAACCGAAACCTTAGCCGACCAAAGTGATTTAACACCTTGGTTGTGGCTACAGAAACTCTTTGGAGACAAGACCATTTCTGACTGTCGCGAGACCTGTAAACTACTTGAAGCTCTACAAGCATAAGCTTCAATTACAACTGGTCATTCTGGTCTTCATTCTGGCCTCACCTTCGTGAGACATGTCGTTTGACAGGAGCTAATGAAAGAAAGTTGCGAAGGTGCAAAATACCCCCCCCCCCTCGAACAGCGCCGACATTTTTTCTTTGCTGGATGGAAAGTGTCTGTCATTATCAAGCAGACTGTCTGTCAGTTATAATATGGATCATAGAGTGCTGTTTTTAAACAACCTACACTATGCCCTTCCCACACACACCCTTTACATTCCTCGTGTATTTTTTGCAGAATCATCACAATGAACGATTATTCGTCACACACATTGCTACTTGTTGCATACAAACCCCGACCACAACGGGCAAACTCCACCCCATCTTAAGAAACTTCGATTTTTTTCAAAAAATTCCGACTTTTTCAGTTCTCTTACATCATAACTCAGCACTCTTTTGATAACTTTCGGAGCGCGTATTGCAGGGATAAAGGGTATCAAACTATGCACCCTTTGGTGTATGTCGTCGTTTACAGCGTGCCCCAGGCCACGTGACACATCACTAGAAAATGAGAGCGAAGGAATCACATACCTTGTAATAAGGAACATAGTAACGTGGACCGGGCGATTCTTGATCCGGTCTGAACCAATGAATATCAGGAATGATTTCAGATGTTGATGGACAGACAAGGTCATTGCGTAGAGGAGCCCTGTCCAGAATTCCTCGACTATATGCCGCATTGAGACTCTATAAAAAATGTGTTTCATTTCAGGTATGTAGTAAGGCATGATGTGGTCATAAGCCAGTTCTATGAACGGACATCTTGAAAAATAATTTGTTCCAAAGAACAACTTCCTTCTCAAGTTTTCCGCTCATAGGACTGATTGGTGAAAAGCCGTTATACCTGGTGAAAAGGCGGCAAAACATAGTCAATTCGAAGGTGTGCAGTGATGGGAGCAAGAATCTCTCTTAGTTCGGTACCACTCAAATCAGCCCTTTTCACTCCGCGTCGACTGATTGAATGGGACGTGTCAGCAACCACGTTTGGTTCACGCTCCTGTATGAAGATGACAAAACTAAGAATGAATAACTGTGCTATGATTAGATTTTGCTTATGATTACCTCCATACGGCGCAAAAGCTCGTGCTCTCCCCATCGGATAACTGTTTCCAAAACATCGACTTCAGTGGCCTGAAATGCGACTGCCATGGGATCTCACTTTTTCAAGGAAGTAAGTATCTTAAGAATCTCAAAAATGAAGTTTTACCTGAAGAAATTGACTTTGAACACATCCGACCATGCTTTCCAGAGAAATATCAAACAAACAATGTGTGGAGGCGATTTGGGAGAACTCAGATTCCAGATAACTGAAATAAAAGTGGATTTCTTTGAGTCAAGATTACCTAGGAATTGAAGGATATATAGCATTGCTATCATAAGGTCGTAAGGCAAAGGGATCGAGCGCTACAAATGTACATATCTTGATAAGTCCGCGTTCAAACTTCGCGATGACGCGCATCGAGGAGCAGTAAGGCGCTACAATTGCAACAGCGCTTCAGTCCTATAGTCAACGGGAGCACGGCTGGAAACGGAAATCAATTAGCACCGGTCGTGTCTTGTGTCTTGAGAGAGTAAAGAATAACAGGACGGGAGGCGCTGCCTTCACTTGATCTGGTACTCACCCATTCTATCATTCTGCCACAGCCTTAGCGATCAGCGTCAGACTGCGCGATTAGGCAACGCGTACCCTCTTGTTCCCTCCACACTATTTCAATAGGGAAGCAGCCGACGCCGATCAATTCCCGTCTGCCACTGCGTTCGCGTCTATAGTGTTGGAGGCTGTTGAAAGTATAACATGTTACAAAGCATCGACGAGAGCAATCATCGCGGAGTCTGAACGCTGCCATATGATAACGAGTAGATGGGTTGATAACCAGTGAGCAACCCAACACGTTGGCGACATTGACATCCCGATGCTGGGACGCACTTTTTTGCCGCGTGGGACATTGCGGCCCAATGGTGGGGTGCAGTTGTCCAGAAAGGTATTGTAGAATATATGATGGCTGGTACCCATGCAGTTGTGTCGATGTGGGTAATTTACCTAAGAGAAATACGGAAACGATTTCCTTACTAGGAAAGGATGGTTGGTCGAAGTGGCCATTCGAAATGAAATGTATGCTGCCCGGTGAACCCTTGCACGCTGACTTCAAATCTGCCGTCCACATCTGCTAAGCGATGCCCTGGACAAAACTGTGCAGGAATTTTGACCAGGTCACACCAATTTCCAGCATGTATGTGGTACACACCAAAACCCTCAATACGCTGAAATCTAAAATTAGAGGTGGTCTGGTGCTCCAGAAATTAACACGGCAGTCATTTTTCGTGAAAATATCTTGTTAGCATTCTGGAGAGGCAGGGTGTGCAGGATGTGGCGTTTGTTAGTGTTTCGGAGGGCTCATTTCCTTCAGAAAAACATTTTTCGGTAAGAATAGGTCTCTTAGCCCTGCAAAAGTGCTTTTAGGATAGGCAGGGAGCATTTTTGAGAAATTGCAAAACACTGATCAAGGAAGAGTGCGAACCCTGGACCTAGCACACGTAAAACCGCTCGCTTCTCCACTAGGACAAGTCTGCAGTGAGCTCACGCATCATTCAGATAGTTGCTAAGCCTTGGGGGTCTCGAGCAGTGGTCTGCTCAACAAACCTCCATGATTCTGCTCGGAGAATCGTTTAGCAGATTTGGAGAGCAGATTTGAAATCAGTTCCAAGGACGCATCAGCCGGTATACATCTCGTTTCAAAGTGGCCACTTCGACCAACCATCCTTTCCTGGTTAGAAGAAAAAGGTAATTTTTGGAGATATAGAGCTGCTGCTTCATAGGCCCGAGAGGTAAGCTGACGTTGTGGTTCTGACAGTGGGATATCTTGAATGCTTTTCCTTTACGAGCTTTAGAGCGGTTCTGCGAGCTTGCTCCCACATCCCTCGTAGACGATGTGGAAGTAGTTTGTGAAATTTCTGGTTTACCTCGGAAGTATTCAAAAAATAGCGGAGCCTCTATTCATTCTGCATTGAGTTCTACTCCTTTTCGATGTTTTGTTGTAAAGGCGTTTCAGCATTTTCAGCATGCGCATTTTTTGAAAATGATAAAAAAAGTGCCTCGTCCCACGTGACAGACAGTGAAAAATCGCCTTGTCGCCAATGTGTTAATACGGAGAGGAGCACTACTATCGGTTTCCGGTCACGCTACTTTGCAGTTCTCCATGTCAAACCAAGTTCAGCATTATTCTCTTTTTACCAAATTGAATGCGTAATTTCCTTAACAGATTAATCCGTAGAAATTGCTGTGAGTTCTCGCGTACTTTACTTAAGAAAGGCTTGATGGGAAAGGAAAAGATTCAGCGGAATATGGCTGAAACACTTACCTCTGTGCGCATCGGGCCACATACTGAGATCCGCCGTCACAAGCCCATGCACAAATGGAAACGCAACTTTCCGGACAAAGGGAAGACACAATAACGTCTTCACACACTGAAATAGAATGTAAAACAATCACTCATAATAACTCTCCTGGAAGCTATCCATTTCTTTTTGAAAACTTTTTGGTCTGCTCAGCAGAAATCCGGCCAATCATCAGCTTGTGAATGGGAAAAGCGTATGGCGAGAACCTCAAACCACGATTCAAACTTTGCTCTCGCTCATCTGTTCGAGGTTCTCCTTAGTGACCCAAGAGTAAAGGAATACGGTGACGACAAGAATGAATACTTCGTAGATTACGGAGAAAAAACACACTGGAAAAATTGATGACTGCTCCTGAACAACTAAAAAACCTAGTAAAGTCACGGCAAATCGCTCAATTATTGTCAGTGTAAACTAGCAAGAGATGTATTTGTTACCACAAGAATGCTGAGTTATGGGAGGAAGTCAGAAAGCTGGACAAGCGCCAACTTTCACCCCAAGCCACCAGGGCTGCTTTTATCCTTCTACCATCAGCTTAACGGCTTTTGTGCCATAGCCTCACAGCACTCACAACGTTCAACGTAATAGGCCGGTCGATGTTGGCGCTAAACCGCGAGGCTAAGCGCTTTACATATTTCAAAGCTGTTTTAGTGTATTAACTGTTTAACATAGCAGTTCGTACTGCGGTCCTGGAGGAGTGACTATCAGCGCATTAGTACAGTCAGTGTGAGGTAAGTATAAGTCCCGGCGGGGGTCTGACTTTTGCCCATAACTCAGCATTCTTATAGTAGCTTGTGGAGCGGTGACTGCCGCGTTAAACAAATTTATCAAAGTAAAACAACTTCAAAGCATGTCTTTTCGACCATGAAAGAGAAAACCGAAAAAAAAACATGTGAATGAAACTATCGCTGCTGAGGTTTCAAATCTAATCTAAGAAAAGATGCAATAGTGAAACTATAAACCTACAATGAACAAGCTTTTCCAGAGCAAAAAACTTGGCAATGTGGATCAGCTGTATGGCTCTGTGAAGTGGTGAGTGGGGACTTCGACCGGCAACTATGGCTCGTGCTTCCGAGAGAGCAGACTCCGATATAATCGTGTCAGGAATCTGAAATCATAGAAACGTGCGCTAATTGTCCCAAAAGCTCTAGCGGTTTGAGACAGGCCCTGCGATCAAGTAATGCGAACAGAGGTGTTCTGTTCCGAACATATGTGACTTTTTCACATACGACCCTTTTCGCCCTACCGGTACATGCGAGCCTCTCCCACGTTGGGGATTCAGTTATACGCGCTTGAACCTGGGTTAGAACGGTTGTATCGCATGTTACCGGTGTTTTATTTCGCACTTTCGAATGAAAATGGTGGTACAATGTATACGACTGCGGAGCGGCTACCAAATGAGCAGAGGCATTTCATGTGTCATTTGAAATCGAAATTAAACTTTTCCGCATAAAATATAGCCACCGTACCATTGAAAGATCCAGCTCATCCGTATACAGAAAATGCACAACCACTGGAGCAAAGCCACGTGGGAGTAGTGTTTCGTCAAGCACGATACGACCACATTCTCCAACACGGTTAAGAAGTCCACGAAATACTGTGCTTCGTGATGCCACCATTGACGAGTCACAGCGAATACCATAATCTGGTGGATGCGCTGAAATAATAGCCAGTAATCCACATTGGAACTCAAGTTCCAAAAGCACAGAAGTCGTCATCGAAGACAGGCGCACGTTCACTAGGGAACAATTTTGGACAAAGTTCGGCTCGCGCGGGAAGGAGAGGAGGCACGGAGATCGTTCTAGTTGGTCATATTCTTGAAAGCTTTTTACTCTACTAAAGTAAAGAAAGAGAACAGGCCTCATTCCCAGCCAGGTTCATCACCAGAATGGGTCTAAGACGGGCTTAAAAAAACAGCTGCAAGTTTTCGGAATCGAACGACGATCACTTCATTTGCTCGTAATTTACTGCAAAACACAGATTTCTGAACAGAAAAATATAATTAGAGCGCGTTCATATTTCGCAATCAGTACCACCAGGTCAAAACTCATTTGGAAACATTACTAGGCATTGAGGACGTATGTTCTCGTTAAACCAAGTGACTGAAGAGCTTGCTTGTAGGAGATTGACCCTTCTTCATCGACGCCAGCATTCGACTCCCTTACTAGGATGGGTCAGAGTTATAGTTCCCGTAACGTTCGCCCGTGTAGTCGATGCGGCCTAACAATTCAGAAGTTCATAAGTTTACTAGCTCCGGCTTGGGCAAGTACCCTACATTACGTTAATGAAAATATTAACTATTTCAGTGGAAAACTCTGCGGCAAGCTGCCAGAAATAGAATGTTATATGAGGGCACCGAGTGAGCCCTAGGGACTTTCGAGGGAGTTTTAATAGTTAATCAGCGTCGTATATTGCTGTGGTTCTCAACACTGCCCAATGAAATAAAAATAATGCAAATAGAATCCAGTCTAACCCTTTGTCATATCGTCGCCGATGGAAGCTGAAGATGTAAGCACTATAGTGAGGTCGCCATTTTCAAGGGCCATTTGTTCGGCTTTCCGCAAACTCGTGAATAAGTCTTGGCTACAGCCTAGACAACTGCGTAGAGAGTCCAATGTACTTATGTTGCCGGACCACACGTCGGTATAGAGATAGTAGATGAACATGCTAAAAACTGGATCGTAAACAGTAGAGGATGCAACAGTGGAGAGTAAAACACCATAAAATTCAAGGGACAACTTACCCGATCTCTTCAGGAGTGAAAGATTTGCCTTCGGGAATTGCGAGGTCTACTTCCACAATTCCTCTATTCTCAACAAATTCTGCAATAACGCTACAGCGAGCAACAGCTAAGCATCGATGGAGGCGATAAGCATTGCCCTGAAATTAAGTGGTATGTATGACGAAAATACTGGCACTACTAGCATATACTCACGCCGATTTTGAGCACGAAGTCCTTATTTTTGCTTGAATAAAGTTCTTCGCCAACGTTTGGCACTGGTGGCCTAGCAGAATTGGCCGCATTCTGCAGAAGGGAGAGGATCCGTGATGTTTCCAGTTCCTAAAAGGTTTAAGATAATAATATAGCCAATAGTTTTGTGTCAACACAAAGAGCCCTTCGACAGGATCGCAAAAAGAAGCACGGGACAGAATCTATGCTCCGTATCGCGGAGATGGGGAGGGCGTGGCTGAGCACTTCATTAAGTTGACAACTATTCTGGTGGACTACTGCCGTCTTGAACAGTTGGAATCAAGTATCTGTCCTGTACACGACCGCATTACAATTGTCAAGTGGGAATAAGGAAAAACACATGTTTGCTATATTCAAATAATGTACGCAGCCATGTTTTGCCTATCTCCGGGAAATGGAATGTATGCGGGTGAATGCGCACGAGACCGTTTTTGATGTAGACATTTATGGTTGTAAGCAAATAAAAACGTGGGAAAAGTTTACTTACCCTGTACAGTGCCTCCACATCGTGAATCGGCCAAGTAGATATAAGATCTCGAAACGATTTTATTTTATCTCGATTTCCCCCTTTACGCTGAAAAAAAAATCAGCAATCCTGTGTGGCAAGAAGGCTAAAGACAGAATTTAAAAACTCAAATGGGTGAGAAACTAAAACCATGAAGAAGGTCCACTTATGGTCACTGGGTACATAACCCTAATCTCGGCGCTGCAGAGAGGAGAGCACAGTGGTTGCTGGTTTGAGCAGAGACGGAGATAGCATGTGCGCAAAAGAGCTAGAGGCGTGCACACGTTGACAGCGTTTGAAGCTTTTTAGCGGCTAGGAAATTATAGGTAGGCGGTTAGCATTTTGAGCATCCACCAGCGTTTTCGGCGATAATCGATGCCTACCTTAGTCGATCAAAACCTTCGAAATCTGTTGGACGCTACAAACGCTGGCGCTCAAAACGGTGGCGACGCACGCTCAAAACCTCGGTCGATATCTATAATTTCCCGGTCGCTCAACACGCTGCCACAAAGTATGAATGCCTTCTTACGCGTTTTCGCTATTGTCTACTGGTGGTCTACTGAATAAACGCGTAAGAAGGCATTCATAAGTTGCGCCTAATGAAAAGAGTCATAACGTTACGAGTAGCTCCCATCACGCGACGTATCAATCCTACTGTCTTTAGGGGTTTATCGTGGCAACTGCCTTTAACGCAACCAAGCTGTAGAGAGCAGTGGCGCACTCAACCAAAGTCGTCATCACCGATTCACTTCAAATAACGCACTCACTTATTTTGTAAAAACGCTGTAAAAAAGTTCTGAGCTATCAGGTTGAAAAGATTCAACAAACAATTCCCAGATCATCAGCATGGAAGAATACTGTGTGCGAACAGAAGGGTACCTTGAAAGGCAACTTCGACAGGTGCTTTGAGGATGACTGCGCTAGAGAGGCCAACCGGCTCCTTGTTTTGGGAGTTCGCTGCTCGGATGTCGGCTTGAGTCGATCCAAGTCAGTCGAAGAGTGACTCTTCACTCGCAGTGAGGACGATCCTCCTCCCATCGAATTTGAAACCCCAGCTGAAATTCAGAAAATCACTTGTAGAACCTTTTGTGAAAATAGAAACACACGCGAACGCACTACCATTACAGAAATCAGCTATTGCTTGACGATGCTCCCATTCTTACCTCCTTGAACAGATAACCAGGAATAGAACGATCTAACGTGAATATAGATAAGGATTCGGAAACTCAGAAGAGAGCAAGAAAAAATGCGAATTTAATGAAATGTTATTGCTATTACCTACCGTAAATTCATCAGAAGAAAGTTTCCGAGGAAACTGTAATGTTTCTCTGTTGAGGTTGCAACTGCGAGAATTGAACGAGAGAGGATGAGCATCGCAAGCAAATGAGTAATTTGGAGGGTTTCTGAAGGTTGTGCTCATACTTTGCGTCACCGTTCGAGGGTACGCCAGCGTGTGGCAGCGTACTGAGCGATTAGGAAAGGGTTGATATTGATCTGACGTGGTCTTCAACGACTGCCCACCAAACGCTCAAAACGCGCACCATCATTATCAGAGTGCCAGACCATCAATACCTACATTTTCTAGTCGCTCAAAACGATCAAAAAGCTGCTGCATCCCCAAAACGCTGATGCAGCGTATGAGCGCATTCTAAGAAAGCGGGACTCTTCGACAGAGAATACTTGAGGATTTGACAGTATCATAGGATTCCTGAGTTTCATGGTTTAGTAGCTTCCCTGTTTTCTTGTTGAATGAAACTCTTCAAGATATTTATTTGGTAACGTTTCGGGCCTCAAGCCCTTCTTCAGGCCTACTGTGTATACAATGTAACATTTACCGATTCTCACTTAGGCATCACTTCTAGCTAAAGTGAACAAGAAACTATTGGCGATACGAAATATGCGACTAACCGAATAAGGCAGGTGGTTTTGGTCCAGGGGAACGGGTTCTTCCGGGGAACCACGTGAACCACTGCAGATACTATTGGATGGACACGGAAGGGGGGGGGTATGGCATATGGGGAGGACTCACCTATCTAGCTGTCCACTCTTGCAGCAAGGAAGCAGCTAGATCGATGGTGGGGAGGGCAAGGGTGCTGTCGTCTGATACTCTCCAAGTCACCATATGTCATGTAATGGTCATTCAGTCACTCCTATAGTGTTGTGATGTTCTCCACCTTGCTCGTAGTTCCTCCGTGTTGTTGACTGGAGGACGCCTTCGTCGTATTTCCAATGCCTCTTTTATCTTCCTTTCCACCGGGTCACAAACGTTCTTGTGAAGGACGCAGACCTTTATCTAGGGCGCGCTCTCGCGAGTGTGCCGTAAAGAACGGTGTCGCGAGAAAGGGTTCTCTGGATAACTGCTGGGATTCCGGAGAGCCCTTGGATGTTCGTCTAGCCTTCTGTAAAGAGGGCGTCCACTTTCTCCTATGACAGTTCCGAGCATGACGCACACTCTACTTCATTGCCTGTTCTTCAGAAGCCATATTTTTCGTTCTTCTTGGCAGTAACAACGGCCACGGCCACGCAGATCTTCATATAGTCGAGAGGATGTGAGCAAACGTTGCTGGTGGTCAGAATATCAGGCGGATCGGCATCCCAGACCTCTTCACACTCCTTCGCAAAGGATTCCGGAGAGGTTCTTGCCGTCATATTCATTGACCGTTTAGAAAGATGTGCAATTCCATCCGGACTGCTGTTCTACGGTCGCTACATAGATGACATATTTGTAGTCGGAAAATCCAGAACAGCACTCCGTCGGACATTTATCGAGCTGAACTCGACGCACCCAATAATGCGCTGACTGTCGAGGATCCAGAACGGCTTTTTGCCATTCTTGAACACAAAGGTGGAGCTTGCTGAAAACCAGGTGTTCTCTATGTGGCACAAGAAGAGCGCTCCGAAACATCTCAATCCATTCGAAAAGCTGTCACCCCCTGTTCATGAAAAGAAATGTAGTTAAAAACACCTCGGCAACAGTTTGGAAGATGACGTCGACCAACGTCTGAAGTAATGGATAAGGTGACGCGGATGCTTGTCGAGAATGGCTATGGAAGCAGACATGTGAGTTGCTGGTGCCTATATCAGGCGCTGGGAGATCGGCCCTCTCATAATGCCATACCTCTCCGAGACCCTTGCGAAGGATGTTAACCGAGTGGTGAAGAGGTCTGAGATGCCGATCCGCCTGATGTTCCGATCACAATCAACGCCGTCTGCTCACATCCTCTCGACTATGAAGATCTGTGTGACGGGCAAATTGTTGTTACTGCCAAGAAGGACGGAAAATATACCTTTTAGAACACGTCTATGAAGCAGAGTACGCGTCATGCTCGGAGTTCTCATGGGAGAAAGTGGACGCCCTCTTTACAGAAGGCTGGACGAACATCCAAGGGCTCTCCGGAATCTCAGCAGTTGTCCAGAGAACCCTTTCTCGCGACACCATTCTTTACGGCACACTCACGAGAGTGCGCCCCAGATAAAGGTCCGCGTCCTTCACAAGAACGTTTGTGACCCGGTGGAAAGGAAGATAAAAGAGGCATTGGAAAACGACGAAGGCATCCTCCAATCAACAACACGGAGGAACTGCGAGCAAGGTGGAGATCATCACAACACTATAGGATGTGACTGTATGACCATTACGTGAAATATGGTGACTTGGAGAGTATCAGACTACAGCACCCTTGCCCTCCCCATCACCGATCTAGCTGCTTCATTTCTGCAAAAGTGGACAGCTAGATAGGTGAGTCCTCCCCATATGCCATACCCCCCCCCCTTCCGTGTCCATCCAATAGTATCTGCAGTGGTTCACGTGGTTCCCCGGAAGAACCCGTTCCCCTGGACCAAAACCACCTGCCTTATACGGTTAGTAGCATATTTCGTATCGCCAATAGTTTCTTGTTCACTTTAGCTAGAAGTGATGCCTAAGTGAGAATCGGTAAATGTTATATGGTATATACTGTAGGCCTGAAGAAGGGGCTTGAGGCCCGAAACGTTACCAAATAGATATCTTGAAGAGTTTCATTCAACAAGAAAACACGGAAGCTACTTGAGGATTTGTGGAAGACTCCATGTGAAAATATAACCCAGAGACCGTGTAACTGGTAGATGACGCTTTCAGTAGCGCATCAGGTTAGGTCATCATTAAGAATCAATGTATCAAAAAAATCTCACAAACAGCCAAAGAGCAGCAAGTAAAGCCGAAGTCGACTTAAAGAAGAGCATTAACCAGGGAAGTCCGCCAACTTACCATGAAACTTTGACGGAGACCAGGGTACATCTATAAAGCCTAAAAGGTTGTTTACAAATATAGGTGGCAAAACTGCAACCTGCATTTCACAATCAACTTATGAGCAGGTAAAGTTTGTAATGGCGCAGTAGGATGGTGAATTGGTGGTGAGCTGTGAAGCATAGCGAGAAATACCCTTATAACCTTATAGACTATCGATCCACCCAGGTCTCCGTTCAAAGTTCCACGGTAGGCTGGCGGACTTCCCTGGTAAGAACACTGAACACCTGTGGTTTCTGTAATGACTCGAAGTGATATGGACGTGCCCTGCTTTAAATGGCTCAAAAGTAAACAGTATTTCAAGGCGCTCCTGTGAAATAAGCCTGCAAGATGACTGGGTAGCTGTTCCGTCGAACCCATATAATCCGACTCTGTTCGCGATCCGATGCACAGATAACCAATCTAGACAATAACAATTGATAATCTCGCTCTCAAACGCAGCGAATATTACGAATACCGATGTATCATTACTGCTCTAACCGTTGTACCGAGTGGTAAAACAACCTAATAAAGTGAGAAGGATGAACCCCTGACCCTCCTGTCGTAAAACTGAAGCGTTGCTGATTGTGACGCTCTTTCTTTGTGCCAATGACGTTGCTGGAAGGAACTGCTTATCAGCGGCCCGACGTTTCGGGCAGACTGCCGTGCTTCTTTGTTCGCTTTACCGTTTAGAACCTTGCAGATACACTGCGCCAAGCCACGTATCGGGCAGACTGCCGTGTTTCTTTGTTCGCTTTACCGTTTAGAACCTTGCAGATACACTGCGCCAAGCAGATAGGATAGAACTCAGGTGATGAAGCTTTGGAAGCTGAGGTTCGTCCAACCCTGTTACCCCTTGTATAGATACACAGCCGGCCCAGCCGACAGTAGCCTTTTGTCGAACTGATCATAAAGGTTACTTTTGGGCAACAACGTTTCCAAGGACTAGCCTCACCTTGCTCGTTCAAGCTCTATCGTCCCAGTTTTTGACTTGTTACGTGGACGCGACTCCCACGCAGCCGGCTTCTGCGTCTGACTTGAATATCCTTCGAGGCATTGGTTGTCCTCGCGTAATTCTTGACACGCCCTCCCGTCTTCAAGATATGTAGTGTACTTCCAGGTGAGTGGGATCGTTGGGTGGTGGTCATGATCCTCAGCTAGCGCTCAGGAAGAGGGAAGCTGCGACTTGTTTTGAGCACCCTCACAATGAACTATTAGGTTGGCGGGAAAGTTCTGTCACTTTTTCAAACTCAAAGTATTTGCCATTACCTGAAGAGGGGTGAACGGTAATGTGAGCACATATACATCAAAAAGTGGCCTTTCTACCAGTACCACTAGCTTGAGCTAGCAGGAGATTCCTGCTTCTTCTTCTTCTGCAATATGGACAAAAATGTTATCCGTTACCATCGCCACCGATCCCTCCAATTGCTTCTGATAGTGCAGATCACTTCCGAACAAGTTCTAGCCGTTCCTCATGCAATAGAGCTGGATGGCTCTCCCCTCGCAGTGGTGTATCACAGACATTGCTCCTTCTAACTGCGAGTTGCCTCCCGTAGCCAATTACTACTGGAGGAGAAATTACGAGAAAACCTCGAAAAGTCTGAGATCAAACCAAGTTTGAGATGATGTCCAACTTTGTATCGCGCCTCCCTGCATTGCGAAGCGATGGCGTCCATGAGGTGCTCAAAAACAGGCAAGGACCCCGCACTAACATTGCTGTACAATTTTGATCTTACACGCCTCTCTATAAAAAGAAAGCCCAATTTAAAAAAAAGTG